TGTTTTGTTTTGTTTTGTTTTTGAAGGTGCCTAAATGAAATTTGCTGACAATACTCAGGGGAGACACCACTAGCGACTCTGCTTTCTTCGCGGAATGCACTGAGCACGAGGACTGTCCCGAAGGATCGGTGTCCAACAGAGAGGAAAAAAAAAAGAGAAAAAGATTAAAAAAAAAAAAAAAGAGAGAAAAACCAAACCACGACACCAAGAGAGGAGGAACGGGGGATCCCCGCCGCCCCCACGGCTCTGCCTTCCGGGTCCTGGCACGCAGGCAGAGCGGAGGGCGCAGAACAGACCCTCAGTTTGATGCGATTCGCTTTGCCAACTCGACTCCAGTGGGAGAAAGGAGGAGGAGGAGCTCTGTCAGCACTGCTCAGCACTGCGCTCTGCCATGGGCGCACAGCACCGCGCAGCCCCTGCGTTCTGCTCCACCTGAGAGCCCAGCACCAGGAACCCGGCAGCGCCGGCTCACTTCTTATTGCTCCTAACGGCATCGCGGTGCAGGCAGGAGGAGGGCAAACGGCTCCCAGCAGCACCGCCTGCCTTGCTGCAAACGCTGCGGGTGTGGGAGCGATTCCTGCAGCCGAGGCTGTGCTCACATCACCGCGTCCACCCCGTTCATCTCCAACCGTGTGAGCCCTGTGCCAACCCTGCACCCGGCCCCACGCAGCACCCAGCACCCAGCACTGCCTGCAGTGCAGCACAGCCACGGCCCTGCACTCCGAGCTGCTGGGGAATGCTCATTGCACGGGGCATTCCTTGCATGCTGCAAGGAACAGAGGATGGCTGATCGGACCCTGGGAGGTCACTGCATCTTCCCTCCCCCTGGAAAGCAGATCCAGGCCCTTCTCCTTCCCAAATATGTTCCTCTAGAAAAGAAATGAGCATCAGACAGAAGGGGCTCTGGTCCCTGCCTGGCGCTCCCAGCACCCACGTGTGACGCAGAGGATCTCACTGCAGCACAGCTCACAGAGGGGCAGGAGCCAGGGCTCCTCGCTGAGCAGTGAGGATGGATGTTACCCAACCAGCCTTGGAGTCCTGGGGCAGCACGAGCAGTGAGCAGCTCAGCACATCAGCTCCTGTGCAGAAGCAGTGCTGGCGCTGCGCTCCTGGAGCGCCTTCCCTTCCTTACCAGTTGACTCAGATGCTTCTCCCTGCACCGAGGGTTCCCTAAGGGGGTGCATCTGCTGGAAAACAGCTTGAAGGCCAAGGAGCAGCGGCCAGGCAGCAGTGGCCAGGCACCGTTCTTCATGGCTACACCCAAAGTCTCACTGTGCTTCGCATCAGAGATGGGTACAGCTCCGAGCAGCTCGCCCTGCTGGCCTCCAGGCTGGTGTGCCTCAAGACAGAGCTCTAAGAGCCAGGTTTGCATCCCATGCTGCAGCGATGGCCCTCGACACAGCTCTTTCAGTGGGAAGTCGTCCTCCTCTACCACATGGATGCACACAGGTGGTGAAAAGGCCCTGCTTACACCTCGGGTCTGGGTAGGAAGGTTGGAATCCCGCAGACGTGATGGCCTGCAGGAGAGCAGCAGCAGGCGGGCAGCGCAGCGGGGCACGGAGCAGCGGGTCAGAGGGGCGGCAGCTCCGCTGCTCAGCCCTCGCTGCCCTGTGCTGATCCTCACGCTGTGAAGATTTCGGTTTCGAATGCAGACTTGAGAAAAACGTACAGCAAAGGGCACGAGGTCGTCCTGCTGTCCGAGGAACCGCCGCACTGTTACAGCCAACCCTGAGCCGGGATTGAGCACAGCAGCACCCGGAGCCACCGGGGCAGCAGCTGCCCAGGAGTGGGGTCAGGACGCAGCTCTGCTGATTGGGATACCTCATTCTTTTGTTTTGGTTTGTTTTTTTTCACCCCCCTCCCTCCCTTTCCTGTTTTCCCCTCTCTTTTAAGACCCAGACCTTCGTGCACTCTACCGCATTCAGGTTCTTTTTCGTTGTAATTGTGCAATGAAGAGCAATTCTTGGGGGCTGGTGCTGGTGCGTGTGTGTGCTTCCCCTGCTCTGTGCCACTCCGATGGCCAAGGAGCAAAGCGAAGGGATGGCACACGGGGCAGCAGAGTCTGTTCTGCTCCTGCACCCCAATGCTGCCCCATAACCCAACCTGGGGGCGATGCAGCCCTCAGAAGGGCAGGCAAGGAAGCTGTAGGAAGCTGAGGACGATGCACAGTGCACTGTCCCCACTCGCTGAGGCTTCACCTGCACAGGGATGGCTGCGGAGCACAGCACCCCACGGTTCCCTCCTGCCTTCTGGGCCCCATGAATGTTTGTTCGCACTTTGAAGTTGGTGGCCTTGTTTTCTGAAAAGGGCTCAATCTTTCCATGCAGTCAAATCAAACTCACCTTCCCCATCGCACTGTTCTTCTCCCCACCTCCAAACCCAATCGACGAGCAGCTCGGCTGGACAAAGCACTGCCAGGGCTGCGGGATCTGTCATTAATCTCAGCAGTTTGTACCTTTGGTACGACACCAGACCCGTCTGGCTGGGAAACAGCCATAAGGGGAGCAGCAGCTCAGACTGAGGTTTGTCCTGAAACACAGCACCAGGAGAACAGCAGCACTTTGAGCACAGGGAAAGCAGCGCCTGAAGCTCTCACCTGCCACAAAGCTCTGAATTCAGACTCCCAAACTTCAAGATGGGAAGAATTTTACCTTCAACCTCTTCACACGCAACCAATGCCTTCTGAACTTCGTTGCCAACCCCCGGAGGAGCAGAGCAGTGGCAGCGTGTGCTGCAGACACCCGGCCAGGAGGAGCCCCCAGCCGCTGCTCCCAGCAGCACAGCGCAGCTCCAGCGCTGGAACACGGCCTGCAAACCGTGCTGCATCCCCAGCAAACTGCATGGAGGAAGAATTTGGAAGCTGTCAGAATTCGTGAGCCACAAATTGCTGCTGGCTTTGCTTTCCGTCCCCATCTCCCCCAGGAGCGAAGCTCGCGTCTGCTGTGTGCATCCCACGCCTGATGGAGCTCCTCTGCCAGCACAGCACGGAGCAAAACCTGCCTGCCTTCACCCATGCGCTCACAGACTTTGCTTTGATGACAGATCCCCACGTTCAACAACGCCACCTTCAAACAGCGGCACAGAGGGGGGGCAGGGGGCTGCGCTGCGCCCCGGCTCCGCGTTCAAGACAAGGGGAGGATGGGCTTCGATGGATCCTTGAGGTGATAAGATTTCAGAGGGAAAGAAACAAAAACAAACAAAAAAAAAAGCAAATGGCAATTTTTTTACTTGTGTTCTGTAATGTTTTATATGTGCGTGGTCTTTCTTAATGTAAAACTCTTGTATTTTTGTGGTTTATATGCAGCAGGACTGATGGCTGTGAGGGTGCACGCTATTTTGTAAGATACTCCTAAGCCAGTTTTCCCCAGGAGGAACAAACTGACTCAGTACTCACATTTTCATTGGCTTGTACCTGCATGTACAGTACGGGGCAGCAAGTGAAGATGATTAAAGCCAGCTTGAAAACCCCTCTGTGCTTGAGTCGAGCGTCACAAAGCGCCCAGCCACCAAGCAGGGCTGCAGCCCAACAGCGGCCCCCCCTAGGGCAAATTGATGGGGAGGAGAAAGAAATGCTCTCTTCTGAGGGACGCCCTGAAAAAGAACAGTTTTTTAGTGAAGGACAGAAAGAAGCAGAGCAGTGCGTTAAGCACAGCTTGCGTGCATCAGAGCAGCATCAGCTCCAGGCCAGGCAGTTCGCTGCAGCCTTCCTGCGCTTTGTTCTCTGCAGGCCCCCCAGCCCAACCTGCTCTCACCACCACCTGGGAGCTCCAAGCCTCCCAGCAGACTGCAGTAGGAAGGCTTGGTTTGGAAGGGACCCTGAAGGATCACCAAGTTCCAACCCCCTGCCATCAGCCGCCAGCTGCTGCAGCTCTCCCCGCAGCAGGAATGCAGCATCGCAGCCCACGGCTGCAGGTTTCTGTTGTGTACAAAGCTGTCAACTGACCTCAACTCACCCTGCTCAGCTCGGCGCTGCCCCCCCGGCTCCCAGCACTCCTCCGTGCCCAGCGCCGGGATGCAGCCCTGCTCCCAGCCCTGCTCCCAGGGCACAGAGGCTGCCTGCATCCACCGCAGCGCTGCTGTAGGAACAGGCAGGGCAGTGAGGTTTCACCGCAATGTTTTATTGGGGAATTCACATACAGACAGGGAGGCGCAGCCCGCACAGCTCGGGCTCCTTGCTGACGAGTTGAAGCTGTGGTGTTCTACCGAAGATGAGAAAACAAATCTGATCCACCCACTCTTGTGCCTGGATTAAAATGGCTGAAGCTAGCAGGGATGGGTACCGGGAATACAGGGGAACAAAACAAAATATGAAAAAAGTATAAATTAGGATGTCGTTTAAAAGTGTAAGAAAACTCACGGCGGGCTCTCAGCCCTCGATAAGTTAACTCTCCGTTAGTTAAAAGTTAAATACATCAATACCACAGATCAGACAGAAAAGCCACTCCGAAGTGCAAGTTTCACATTCTGACAGCTTGCCCCCACACTGCGCGAGAATCCTGCTTGCTCACGGGGGGAGGGAGGGGGTCTCTGAACGCCTTTGGTTCCAACGAGGGTTGGCGAGCCAAGCACAGCTCCAAACTCCGCTCGAGGAAGAGGTAGCAAGGCTTGCTTGCCCCTGGGCTTGGGCTAAAATCCAGCGCCTCAGCACCAAACACGGATCCCACCCTCTGCCAACCGAAACCCCGACAAATACTGGAGCTTTGAGTGGTTCTTAAGAGGCCTGAAGTCGCGGGCAGTAAGGAGGACAGGTCGCCCCGTTCCTCGGTCACACCTCTGCTAAGATCCCAGGACGTTTTGTGCTACCCAGAAGCGTTAGTGGAGGTTTGTGCAAGGAGGGGGTCCACCCCAAAGTGTGCATTGACTGTGCTAAATAGAGGGGAGCTCATGTTCTGGTCACCGAGGTCGCACCGTGTCTGACAGTGACGAGGCAGAGGTGGGTCTCAGTTATGGAAAGAGGCTGGGGCCGGGCAGCCAGCCTGAAAGAAAAACCCTGAATGTCTCATGGAGCAGTTTTGAAAAACAGAACAGAAGGCAAAAATGGTCACAACGCGCGGGATCATTTCCACAGCTGAGTGCTGAGGGACTGATTGCTGCCCTGGGCACCTCCTCCACCCATGGACTGTCCGTATCCCATCACACCGTTGGCTCCATAGAAGTTCATCCCAGCCATCTGCTGGGTCATCTGCAAAGGGGAGGAGAGAGAAGTCACCAGGCCGAAGGTGCCAGCCCGCATGCATGCCTCCCAGCAAAACAGCCTTCAGCAAGACTTTGTAAAGAGTTACAGCAAACAGAGGCTTAAACGAGACAGTACAGCTTCACCGAAAGCTACCCCGAAGGCTGGGCTCCACTATCACCAGCCCAGCAGTTAGACCTACAGAAGCAGACTCTCCTCATTCTCAAGCATGAGACTTTTTCATCTTATTACAGAAGCTGTGCCACTGCAGAATCACAGTGTGCTATTATCTGACCTTTCAGCAGCAGCACACAGCATGAATCAGCAGCCAGCAGAGCTAGCTGTGCTCCCCTCTGTCTCTCAGCAGCACCTCCTGCTATTCCTCAAACCAGCCCATGAGCCCCCAGCCTTCAGCTCAGTGCAGACTGACGCTGCTGGACAGACACACAGCACCCAGGTAATGTGAAGTTCTGGCTTGGACACAGGACACTGCAGCTCTCTGCCTACAGCTCGCCATTCCGAGCAGCCAGGCGCTTCCACCTCTCCTTGGACCTCTCCACGAAGCCCTGAGCTGCTGCTTTCCCACCTTGATGCATGAGGATATCACCTTGGAGCTGATACCTCCTCAGGCGCCTGCCCACCTTTGGAGCTGAGAAATTTCAATGCCAGCTGATGCGACGCTGATTTTTTGTTCTCCACCCCGAGAGCCCTGAACGCATTACCGCTTTG